GGGTAAGGACGGCCTGGCATGGCGTCCGTCTTTGATAAAGACCGCCGTCCGAGGGGTTGACGCCCGGGCCCGGGAGTCTTAATACAAATGGCATCTTCCGGCCGTCGTGCGCGGAGCCCGACCGTCATTCGCAGGGCCCGGCCATCATTCGTAGAGCCTGGCCGTCATCTGCAGGGCCCGGCCGTCATCTGTAGGGCCCGGCTCTCATCGGCAGGGCCATTTGCAGGTGAGACACCTCTAGGGCCCGGCCGGCCGTCCGGGCAGTGGTTAGGACGGACCACAGGATAGGCGTCCGTCCCGTGCGAAGCCACGGACGGAGGGAGTGGACGCTGGGGAACACTGCTGCCGACGGGATAAAGCGCGTTGTCTAGCCCTATTTCGATTACCATTCTCCAAAGTTTCCACCCAAACCCGCGGACCCCCATTTCGTGAACTGCGCCGGATATAATTTTAATGATTAGGATGCTTTCATCGTTGAGGTACATGCAGCGGGGCCCTTTGTGGCGAATGTCGAGAAGACGATTGATGCACATAATATCAGTGGGTACCAAAGGGCAGTACACTACTTACTGGCCAGTCTGATGTGCATACAATCTGTTGGCATGTGACCCCATCACCCTAGTGAATTCGGTGCTGCCGGAATACCAATGTTGTTCTGCCCCTTCTAACCCCTCGGAGAAAATATTGCATGTCGGATAGGCCACCGCGCCCTGCAGTTAGGGAGGCAGAATGCATTTGAGAGAATCCCGTATGCTGGGTGGGAGCGGGAGACATCCTATCCTGCATTTGGTTGAAGATGTAGAAATTATGCCGCTTGAGTGGCCCCAGTATCAGAGGCTGTAGATGGTAGGACTCGGGTGTTAATACTGAATGAAAATGCAGCGGTAGTAGAGGCAATGGATGAAGGTGATGATGATCTTGCCAATTGAGGATAGTAGTGGGAATCACTCAAAACTGCACTTTTGGTAGGATGAAAATGGAATTGGAGGCAGTCACGTTCCCTCGGTCGTGTTGAAAGAAGGTGGTGGTGGTGGTGTGATGGATGGAACTTTATTGGATCTCATAGGTGGGAGCAAGCTGTCTAAAGACAGAAGCAAACAGAGTGTGAGATCCCAATATCCTCTGACCCGCAGACATACAAACTCTCCACATCGCCGTCCTCCAGCTCCACAATACCGTTAGGGTTTCTCCCCGTATACCCTCAATAACATACAACAAGCCATCCCCCACGTGATCCGGCACGCTTCCTTAAAGGGATAGGTGCACAGTTAAATTCACATGCTAGCATGGTTTATTGTGCTTTCGCATATGTGGTGTGCTATCGGTTCCTTTGCTTTCACGACTTCACTTGGGTTTAGCGATAGCAAGGCTTAGCCAGACGGGATATGATACAAGATTGAGTATTTAGCAGATCCCAATCCTTTACCTTGTTGCCAAAATCCAAGGCTGGGTAACTCTAGTGGTTCTTCGCGGACATGTAGAATTTTCCCACTGGCAGAAGACTTGTCCTGGTGAGTATGCAGACAATCTCGTTTCTGCCATGGCCCTACCAGTCAGAAATTTAAGGCGCTGTTGGGCTCAGAGTGAATGAACCGAGTACCACTCAGCGTAGCCATGGTGGAAGTAAGATCCACCGTGTACATTTAGTCATGATATTCCCCAGTATGGTAGCACTCATGAGTCTGCTATCCTCATTGTTTCCAAATCTAGATGATACCAATCTCTACTTATGACTTATCCTCTGGTGTTTGCTGATCCCAGCGCCCGGATAATGCTAGAAGTCAATGATATTCGGCCTGGAACGAAGGGATATGGTAAATTAGTATGAGGAAACTTAGGTAACGATTACATCGGATTTATTTTGCTCATGTAACCATCTGACGATCAGCACCGTGCCAACTTGGCACGCGACTTGAAATTATACCATGAATCTTTACCAAGTATCATATTCCGTGCTGCGAATGTCGGGGCGCTTGTCTCACATCACCTAGTATACTTGGGCAGTTCATTAGCGTACCAAATCTTCGCTACTAGAAAAGGAAAATAAAAAAACTGAGACATAGAGCTCGTCCTTCACAATCCAACACGAGATTTAATTTTGTGAAACCCTAACACTATCAATACACATCTGTGTGCTCTGCAGAGGAACATGCGCTCCAGCGACCCCGCGCTACGGGGCTGTTCCGGCGCCCCGACGAAGGTTGCTGGGGCACCCGGGTGATCGGAAGCTAGTATGGGTATCCATAAGCAAGATTGGGTGGAGACCCGGAGGATATGCAGGATTGGGGGATGTGAGGGAGATGAGCACATCGATAGCAGTTATGAGAGTGGGGTGGATGGAGAGGAGGATAATGAGGGCGACAGTGTCTATCAAAATGTTTTCGTCGATGTCCTGCTTCTTGCGGCCGCTCACTCGGGTGGGTGACATTTAGGTGATGGAGTGAGGGATAAAGCGAGGGAAAAGGTCACGGCCACGGTTTGTTAAACCACTTCCAATGGGGATTCCAGTGACATCAACAGCTGCCTGCCTTCTAGCGGCTTCACCGGAGGTTACAAATCCCAGTGATCTGCGAGCCACCATCCATGCCCCGCTACAACAAAGTATGAGGAGGCACTCCGACCGTTCACAGAGCCTCCCACAAACGCCCTCTCCCCTACCGTTCAACAGCTATCTACCAATATGCTCATGGGAATCCAAGCAACGATCACAATTACCTACGATTCAATAGGGGCGACGATATACAACGACAGCTTGGCTCCCCCTTCAACCCGCCGTGCCACACCCCCCGTCCCTGCAGAAACTGCAACCTTATGACCAAATAATGCGAGGAGCGGGTGAGTGGCCAATTGCGTTGCATGATAGCCCAAGGTCGCCTAGCATGTCATGGAGAGAAGTTTGAATACCTTTGGGGCGACGAACAAATAGCACGGTGGTAGGGCACAGCGGGAGAAAGAGATCTAGACTTAGGTGGTGTGAAAGAGTAGTATAGTCAAGAGCTTCGTTACCTTGTTCGTCTCCAATCTCCCCCCTCAAATCAATTGGCAAAATAGGAGAATATATGTAATGCAGAAAGAAGGCCTTCCCTCCATCTCTTTATAGATCGCCAGACATACCCCCTCCCCCTAAGGATCTACGGACACCGCCGTGGTGACGATGGAAAAGAGGGCCCAAACAACTTCTGCGACAAATTGCGGAATCTCCTCAACAATTTGCGTCACTAAATTAATGATCCACGGTGCCTGGGCTACTTCCCTGGTAGCCCTGCTACCACTTGTCTTTCTTCCGTGGCCACCAGAAGAGGAAACCACGGAGCACCAGAGGGTGACCGAAAGATCACTGGAACCCCCGCCTATTGTCATACCTAAAGTCAGTAGATAGTGAATTTCCCCCTCTTCCTCCTTGCTCCCAGCTATGGCCCTCGGTTCCCCCGTTCGTCGCTTGAAGGTACGCCCCCGCACTATTCAGTTGATTACGCTACCTCGGCCACAGGCACGTAAAGCATCCCGTACCTAAGCCGTGTTGAAAGGGTTTGGTTGCCTTACCCGGGTTAGTACTGTCCCCACGGGAATATCCACCACTGCATCTGGATGATCCCCAGAGTTCCCCGAATTCCGTGCCGCAGGCCTACCCGAATGTCTGCCCCCAGTTCCCTAGAACAGTTAATTCATCTCCCAAAGCATAGCCCATCGTTTCACTTCAACTCTCTTCCGACAGATTTGTCAAACCTGTTGTAATTCGTATTGTATGGTCTGTGTTTTCCGCGCAGTAGAAGCTTCTCGTTCTCGTCCTCGCTGGTGCAACTATCTCGTAATCTGTATTCTGTATTCTTGTCTGCCACAACATCTTCCTTCCCTGTGACCTTAGGTCTTTATATACTCTGACAAAAGAGAATTCTTCCAGGCCCCGTCCAAACTTGATTCCCGCAACCCCGCTCTTACCCCTCTTCCGGCTATTTCTTTGGGCTTCTCCGATCTTCTCTTTACCCCGCTGTACTCAACCAATTGTCTTTCTTGTTACCTCCCCGTGCCGTACGTTATCGTCTCTCCCATGCTTGTGCCATGTTATGTAGACACCAGCAGCTCCAGAACCTTCTACCCCTCTTTATAAAAAACAAACTCAAAACCGTTACAAATAAGAAATCAACACTAGCTTCGGAGGTTTCTCCAATATCCATCGATTCAAATATCACATAGTCATATGGTCATTACTCCGAGTACCGGTGATTTATGATAAACCCCCGCACCACATTTCCCTTCCGGATCCAGAAGAGACTGACTTTTAATGACTCCTGAGGGGTAGAGATAGCGGATAATATACCTGCCGGAAGGGGCACTGTACCTAGATAAATGTGGGCTCGAAGACTCCAAGAGAATTGCACGAAATAATCCCGTGAACCGTGTCCGTTCGACGCACCTTAATTTCCCCTAAGCCATTTGTTATCCTTACCGGCTCGATTCTTGATAACTCTCTGATCCTTTGGAACTTCCGGCACGAAAGGGGAAAAAATGTATCCGGAGAGCTACATCACATTCTGATCCTTGTGCTGATAAAAAAACAAAAACTGAAGATCAATTGACAAGTCTGCCTGCTGAGCTGCAACCATAGAGTAAACAGTTGAAACATCCTGCATGAGGCGTGAGGTTCGTTAAGGCTGGGGAGGCGCGGAATAGAGGCCATCTCCAGATACATTGCATCCTGTTACACCCCAAAGTTGGTGCTCATTGGATATCATTGGGTTAATCCCACGCAGGCTATGATCGCGTGGCTAAAAGTAATGAAAGAAAATTGAATTTTTTGATTACTGGGGTGACAGCGGATATCATGCAAGGAGTAGACGTGACCCATAACAGCTTGTGGCAGTAGCAACACAATAACGCCGATAACCGAAATAGGACTCGGGTGGCAATAACCATGCTTGAGAATCTATCCATTGATGACCCCGGCCTGAATGCGGGCCTGTCAATTGCTAATACACACTAACGGACTTCAAGTATCGCGACGCGTAGAAGGGAGAGAAGGAAAGTACGCAAGCAACCCTTCTCCAATCTTAATACCATCGATAGCGATGAAGTACCGTGAGCAGATACAGCTATCCAAACAACCGAATAAAACCCCACAACCTTGTCATTACTCCCAAATACTCTCAGGCTCTCCCAGAAGGGTTTCCTTCTCTGGAGTCGCCAGCCTGATTTTTTTGGGAGCCCTTCCCTTGAACGTCGCAATTGGCGCCCCTCTTAGACCTGGACTCACCGCCATTCTTGGAAGGCGGGTGGTCGTTGTCATTCTTCTGGCTCTTTTTTTTTTTGCTCACTCTCCATGGCCTTTCCGCTCCGTGACCCCCGCGGGGGCGTAGAACGGCGTCTGATTCGTACCTTCTTGGAGGCGCAGCATTGCCAGGAAGAAAGTTTGGCAGAGGACAGGGCAGAGGAGCGGCTCTAGCGACAGTACTGGGACTAGCCCCTGGCCCGGGGGGGATGTTCTGGCTCTCAATGAGGACTTCGGCGATGAGATGTAAGAGGTGAGCGATAGCGCGGCATGGGTTTGTCTGCGGGAGGTTAGAGGCGGTTAAGAGTGAGGACGGAGCACTGGGGAGGTGACCCGGGTGGGCTGGAAGTGCAGATGGGGTGCCGATCGCGTCTTCTACTGGAAACGGCACGGACACACCAAGCGAAGATAGTGCTGGCAGAGAGGAACTTGGGCCAGGGGCAGGTTGGGCTCTGAAATGCCATGGGGCCGGGTGCTCCGGTTGCGCTGAGCGGTTTGACAGGTTTGTTAGTTTCTACTTGCAAAACAGAAAAGAAAAAAGTAGTCCAAGAATTGGAAACCAAAGAGCCTCTATCGCATTTCTAGTATTGGGGGGCTTCCCGGTGGGATCGTTGGACTGAGTGGGCAAGGCACCCGCGGTAAGCTTTCAGGTTGCTCTACGAGTACTCCCCACATGAATGGAGAACACTCCCAGAACGACTAGCTAAGACATTATGGCGTCCGTGTATAGCCTTACTAGACCTTTCCCAACGGCAGAGGGGGCCGAACCGATGTACGCGCTAGTGGGATGGATACCATGACACTAGCCACCGGGTTCGCGCCGCAATAGATCCCCCACATAGCCACTCCCCACACTAGAGATGCGATAGGAGACAGCTGAGGAGGTACTTACCGCTTGCGCCATACCCCGGATTTCGGCTCATCAAGGGATGGAGCGGTCTCTCCGCATCCAGACCCTCCCTGATTGACGCAAGTTCAGAGGTCCTTGGATCACCAGGGGGGTAGAGAGGCGAAAAGGACACCCTGGGGACAGGCTGTGTGGCCCCATTGGTCGGGTGGAAGTTGCGCAGGTTCTGCATTTTTTTTTTCAATGCTTTGCTTCTGTGCAACAAGATGGTGGAGGTGTATGTTGGAGCGGGCAGGTGCAGTGATTTGGGTGTGGGACTATTATATAGCAGTTCCGTGGTGATCGGAAAGTGTTGTGCATTGGCTTGAGGGTTGCGAAGGCTATAAGGGCCTAACGAAACCCACGTTCTGGATTTATCTGCCAGTACGGGTGGAGGGTTGGGTTAACACAGGGGCCAAGCCTCCAACCCGGTTTTTTTGATACTCTCGCCATAGACTCAGCGCCCCTAGGTTTTACTTCCATTGAATCCAGACAAAGAACCTTTGGTTGTCCAGCCTACCTTCATAATCTAGTTACATGCTGTGTCGTGCAAAAATTAGGATAGTTCTCACCATATTTCCCTTCGTTCATCGTGTCCACTGATGATGCCTTCCTTTTCTGCCTTCCTTTCTCATTTTGGGGAGGGTGTGCAGTTACTTCCAAACCAGAGGGACTGTAGGCTCAGAGAGCAATCAACAGGGGTGGGTATCTTTTGTTAAAGGGTTTTTAGGCCATACTTTAGGACAGATGTCGCGGGTTCTCCTGCATATAGCTATGAATAAACCAAAAAAAACTGGTGGCGGTCGGCGCATATTGCTTTTGTTCGAATGATAGCCGTTGTTTTCCCGGCAGAGGCTAATAAGTAACTACCAACGCTTGTCGCACAAAACTCTCGCCTATACCGGATTAGAGGTTGATATTAATTATGTTATGCCGTCCTTGGAGCCTAGCGACTCTTATCGTGATTCCAAATTAAACAGTATGCTCGATACCTATCATGATAATTTTCCGAATCTACGCGATCACACAACACATTTATCACGGGGGCCCGATGGGGGAGTTGGCGAGTATATCGTGGGTTGTGGTATGTGAGGTGGAAATAGACAAATGATCTTTCATTTCCTGGGGTCCAGGCCAGCGTCCCTCCTGTTGATTGATCCTACAGTGGGACACGCCGCGTTCAGCGGATTTTAGCAAACTGCTATGGAAGCCCTTTGGAGTTGGAAGCTCCGACATACTGCCTCTTCCGTGCCGAGCGGAAGTCCTGCCGCAATCTTAAGTCCAGGGAGCACTGGAGTCGGGAGGAGAGCGACATTCCTGGGCGGGGGGAATCACTGCATTTTTCTCCCGATTTTTGTCTCGGCAAAGCTTCCGGAGGAGATGAGTTTCCCTCCCCGTCATCGGACCCCAGATTGGATTTTGTTGAAGCTTGGCGCTCTTTGGCCCTGGGAGGTTGAAATGTTAGAATATTCCTATTCAACCAAGTGCAGAATATATCCACTAACCTGCCCCTCCCTCCCGACATCTGTGTTTTCCGCTGATTTTTGTTCCTTACTAGTCTCATGTCTCTTCTCAAATCCCAACGCCAACCAAAATCCCAGCCAGGAATTTCACTTTTCCCGCCCCCAAAGTGCGATACCCATGGCACCCGCTGAATTCCGGCCGCCCAACTACTAGAAACCGACCTAGCTCTCCCGCTGCTTGTTTTGGGAAATCCCGAGAACGGTGCTTGGAGGGGTGTTCCCGGCGGTCCGGTCCGTCCGACTTTACGGTGGGGCGGGACGCACTACAGCCCCCGTTGTGCATCTTTTTAGCAGTTCTGGAGCGGAGTACGCACGGGACTGGTATGATCGCACGGGACGGGCTACCGTGGACTACCGTCCTACTGCCTGAAATCCTATTACCAAAATGACCTTGTCAGCAACAAGGATTCAACCATTTCTGCGATTGTCGTGGGATAATATGTTGTTCTCAACAGCCCCCCGCTCTCCCAAGAGGTCCCCCACCGTCCTCCCTACTAGCAACTTTTCACCCTGCAGGGCCCACCTTCTATCCTAACGACAGCTTCCCTCCACTATCACTGCCAAGGATGGACTGCACAGAGCGGTCATGTCCCGTCCAGGGCTCTTGGAAATTCCCCCGTGAGCCCCGCCGGGCCCACGGAGGGTTGGGAACACTCTCTTGGAGAGCTCGCTCGCGTATTCAAGAAACCCGATGGCTTTCTCTGCCCCTCTCCTCAGGTAGCACATAGACACTTACTAGATGGAAGTATCGACGGAGCGGAATTCCTCTGCGCCGGGGATTACCGCACTATGATGCGGGGCATAATGCTGCTGGCGGTCTATACGGGGGACCAGTTCAATAAGAACCGAGAGAATCTGTTTAACCAAGAGTTTTATTTTGCTACCGTATGTCTTTCTGCTTTTAAGAGGAAGATGAGAATATAGGACAAGCAATGTAAATCGAGATCGTATATTGTCACTTCAGCGTTCTAGAAGCATTGATTCTTTATGACCGGGCGTGTACCTCGATTCTGACTTCCTCTCAGATAACTACCGTCAAACCTCCTACTCCCCCTACTCCTCCGATGAACACTGGGCTATATATAGATGCTTAAGATAGCTTGATCCTTCCAGACAGCTCTCCTTGGTCATCTACATGGCCCCTCTTTTCTACTTTCCTTCACCCCTCATTTGCTTATCCATGATTCTAAAGACTTCCTCTACCCCGCTTTTGTAACCAATCACTTTCCTTGCTACCTCTTCACATTATTCCTTTTCCTTGCCCTGTAATATCCATCTAGAATATGTCAATCCACAATACCCTCCAGAACATTCTATCTTGCTTATGGACTCGCTTCTAGGCATTACAAACTTTCAACACCTCCGGCAATGTCTCCGGACTATCAGATAGAACTAGACACATGGGGTAGATACTCGGAGTGCCGGTGATTTGAAATAGCAAGGTGGTTGCAGTTCGTGGTTGAGAGAAGGTTGGACTCCCTTCGTAAATTCCAACTGAGAGTACGACACTAGAGTAAGGGATTGTGGGTTCTTGAGATAACAGGTGTAATTTCCCTACCACGCTGGGTGAGCTGGAGCATCCTGGTTGATGTGATTACTTTTTCTACCTTCTCTACTCAAGTAATAGACTAGGAGGGGGGCGGGGATCAACCGCCATCATCACCAATGCCGTTCACTGTTGCTAGTCATGTAATCGATTAATAATTCAATCACCTATTCCTCTCGATCTGATTATACTCGGGCCGGGCCCATATGGTTACCTGGATCATACTCGCTTCCATCACTGGCCAAACCATTTTGATTGAGGTGAGGTTTTTTTTAACAATTCTGACAGCTGTATACAAAAAAGGAAGGAACCAGAATATCGGCTCTTCCAGTGTCCTTTTATTCACCCTTCCCGCGCAAATCCAATCAGTCACATATTATACGTATATCCATCGTGTGGCACATATACAAGTACTGCCCCCTACCCTCTCTGCTCCCTCCATGACCCAAACCATAAGCACTCTATCCAATTCCAGGAACCAGCGAAGCAAGGTGGACTTACTGTATTCGGATCATAGGTCTTTATCCTCAGGTAGTGCCCCCAGATATCACCAGCAAACTGCCCAAGCTCCTGCGAAGTAAAGATAATATTGCCTTCACCACGGCTTTGGACGGGCTGACGAAGGAAAATTTTGGCGAAGTCGAGCTCCAAGGGAGCTCCGGTAACAATAGGCGTAGTACCCACGGATTCACCAGTAGTACCAGGTGCGATTATATCGACTTCCTGGATTTTCGTGGGTGTCGCTATCGAATGATTTAGGCGAGCCTGAGTGGCGTGTGGACTTGAGTGGGTGCCCATTTCCCATTTCTCGATATGTATACTTCTTGCCTTTTCGGAGACCGAAAAGAGAAGGACAGTGTTGGCGCCCTCCGCAGAGTTCTCTAGCCACCAGCGAGAATCCACCCTGAGGCGTCTAAGGGATTCCGATATCCCACATTCCAAGACTAAGCTCGGCCAGTATCTTTGTTGGCAACGAGAGGTGGAAGGTATAAATGTCGCATCCGCTTCTTTGTAGCTTCGTATGCCTTCAAACGTGGCACGGCCTAAGTGACGGAGGGCACGATCTAGACCCATTTCGATTACCTTCATCGAAATTTCCCACTCAAACTCCCGGACCACCATTTCATGAACTCTGCCTGATGTGATTCTAACAATTAACGTGCTTTCGTCGTTGAGGTACATGAATCGGAGCCCTTTGTGGCGGATGTCGCGAAGACGATTGATCCGTACAAGCTGTATGGGCGTCACAGGGCTATACACTACGTGTTGGCCTGCCTGACACTCATGCAACTTGTCGGCATGCGACTCAATCACCCTCGTGAATTCGGAGCGGCCACAATACTGCTGGTGTTCTACTCCTTCTAACCCCTCTCTGAGGTAACGTTGCATGTCGGATAACCTGCAGGGCCCTGCAGTTAGAGAGACAGAGCGGGTTTGAGAAACACCAATATGCCGGGCAGGAACATCTGCCGTTCTTTTGTGAATTTGGTTGGAGATACAGAGGTTATGCTGGTTGAATGGCCCCAGTATCATGGGCTCTAGATGGCGGGCGGTCAATGCGGAATGAAAACGCAGTGGAAGTAGAGGCATTGGATGAAGGTGATGCTCGCCGTCCCGGTTGAGGATAGTATGATAGAGTAGAAATTAGTCAAAAGCTGCACTACTATGGAGAAGAAACGGAATTGGGGGCAATCACGTTCCCTGAGTTCCTTCAGTCGTGTTGATAGAAGATGGTGGGGAGATGAATGGAAAATTGCCGTACCCCATTGGTGAGAGCGAGCTGTCTAAATACAAAAGCAAACACAGTGTGAGATCACAATCTCCTCTGACCCTTATGTCTACAAACTCTCCATATTACCATCTGGGTTACAGCCCGTATACCCACGATAATACACAACCAACCATCCCACATGTGATCTGGCACTCCTCCGCAATAGGGTAGGTTGACGCAGCTAAATTCACATGCTAGCTAGAATGGTTTTGTGTCCCTTGGCACAAGTGATTTTCTATCCCTTCCTTCGATTTCACAAATTCACTTAGGCTTAGTGATAGCAAGGCCAATCAAGACGCGATCATGGTGATGGCGGTTACGACAGTGAGGTAGAGAGAGGAGGCCAAGGAGGGTGACCGTCGATATCCAAATGTTATCGTCGATATTCTACTTTTCGCGGCAACTCTCTCCGCTAGGTAACACGCAGATGGCGGGGTAAGTGTCGAGGCAAGGGGAGGAAAAGTCATGGCCGAAGCTTGGTAAACCACTTCCAAAGGAGATTCCACTGACATCAATAACTGCCCGCCTTCTGTCTACTTGATCGGAGATTGCAAATCCCATTTATCTTCGAGAGACACTACCGCTACAGCGAAATATGAGAGGCACTCCCACCTCTCCAAGAGCATCTGCCAAAAGCCCTCTTCCCGGTTCAACAACTATCTACGACTCTGCTCGCGGGAAATTCAAGCAGCGATCAAAATTACCGCCAAACTATTAGCGGCGATCAGATGCAACGACAGCTTGCCTCCCCCTCCAACCCAGCAGGACACCCTCATCCCCGGAGAAGCCTCAACTCCATGACCGAATAATGCAAGGATTGGTTGTGTGCCCGGGTACCCTGCGCTCTATCCCAGGGTCGGCTATCATGTCAGAGGCAGATGTTTGAATAACTGCGGGACTGCCAACAGATAGCGCGGGGGTGTGGAACAGCGGGAGAAAGAGCACTGGACTTGGATGGTGCGCAAGAATGGTATGGTCAGGGATCCTTTAGCTCATTCGTCTCTAATCTCCCCTTCCAATTAACTGTCAAAATAGGAGCATATATGTAACGCAGAAACAAAACCTTCCCTCCATCTGATTATACATCGCCAGACAAATCTTCCCTTCCCTATGCGTGTGCGGGCACCCCCGTAGTGGCGGAGGGATAGTGCCCCAAAAGCGACTTCCGAGACGAATCGCTGAATTACCTCAACACACCGGTGTGCTAATTAATGATCCACTGTACCAGCGCTACTTCAGAGTAACCTACAGAGCAGTGACTATAGGGACATTGCGACACCCCCCTACCAGCGTACCTTGTTGGAAATCAGGAGTTGCTACGTAGCATGCTCACGGAAGTGTCTCAAATGTTCTGTCTTGTCTCCTGGCTGAAGCAGGCTCCTGACCAGAGTGTTTTATCAGCGAAGAGATTTTCTTATGCGGCGACCAGTATTCGAGACTGGTGAATTGAAACGGGAAAACCTTTTCTTCACGCTAGTATTACGGGAAGAGGATACAAGATTCTCCACGGACGTTTGGGAGCTCGGATCAGCAGTGATTATTAGTCCTGTACTTCCTTCGTCTCTTTTTTCTTTAAACAACAAGAAGTCCTCTCGTTCCTAAGTTGTTTTCCTTCCCACCTCGTCACTCCTTTCCTTCTTACTATCGTTACTCTCTTCTATACAAATCAAAAAGTCTTGGTTGAAGCGGTACCTGGCTACATTATCTGTAGAATACCTGAACTCTGCGGAAGGTTAATTTCCCCCTTCTGCCCCTTGCTCTCAGCTCTAACCGTCGGTTCACCGGTTCGTTCTTTGAAGTTATGCCATCGCACAATCCAGTTTCAATACGCTACTCTACATCATGGCAGCCGAAAAAAACGCCCGTGCCTAAACCGTGTTGAAATGGTTGGGTCGCCTTACCCGGGTTAGTCCTGTCCGCACTGGAGTATCCACCACTGCATATCGATGATCCCCAAACTCCCCGGTATTCCGCCCCGTATGTTTGCCCGAATGTCTGCTCCCGGGTCCCTAGCACAGTTAATCCCTTTCCCAAAGCACAGCCCATCGTTTCTCTCTTCCGCTCACTCGCGACCCATCCATTAACCCCGGCATCCCATTCCCCGCCAGGATCCAGATGAGGCAGACTTGTGATGAGTCCGGAAGAGTAGAGATGGACAGATAGATAATCTACCCGCCGGAAGGGTCACTCTACCTAGATAAATGCGAGCCCGAAGAGAATTACAAGAAATAATTTCATACTTCGTGTCCGTTCGACGCACGGCAATCCCCACAAAACCTTTGCCATCCTTCCCGGCTCGATTCTTGACAAATCTCAGATCCTTGAGAACATACGTCGCAAAAGGGGAAAAAGATGTATCCGTAGAGCTACTGTTACATTCTGATCATTCTGATGATGAAAACATAAATGAATATCTATTGGCAGGTCTACCTGTTCCGCTGCACAACAGGGTGAACTGTCGAAACAACCTACATGAGGCGTGAGGGTTGTGAAGGGTGGAGAGGCGCGGAATAGTGGCCATCGTCTCTAGATAGATTGCATCTCGTCGGACTCTAAAGCCGGTGCTCACTGGATACTATTCGGTTAAATCCTACGCTGGTTGTGATTATGTGGCTAAAGGTTGATAGGAAATTGCCTTGTTTGGTTACTGGGGTCACAGGGGATATCATCCCAGGAGTAGACGTGACCCATAACAGCTTGTGGCCGTAACAACACAATAACGCCGATAACCAAAATAGGACTCACGAGTGGCAATAATCATGCTTGAGAATGTATCGATTGATGATCCTGGCTTGAATGCGGGCCTGTCAATTGCTAATACACACTAACGGACTTCAGGTATCGCGACGCGTAGAAAGGAGAGAAGGAAAGTACGCAAGCAACCCTTCCCCCAGCTTAATTCAATCGATAGCGGTGAGGTATCGTGAAAGATACAGCTATCTAAATAACCGAATAAAAGTTCTCAACCCTATCACCACTCCCAGATATTCTCAGGCTCTCCCAGAAGACTTTCCTCCGCTTGAGTCGCCAGTCTGATTGTTTTCGGAGCCATTCCCTTGCACTTTAGAATTGGCATCCCCTGTAGACTTGGCCTTCCCTTTCAGCGTGGATTCTCCTTTAGACCTAGCCTCCTCGCCCTGCTTAGAAGACGGGTGGTCGTGGTCATTCTTCTGGCTCTTCTTCTTTTTGTTCATTTTCCATGGCTTGTCCACTCCTTGGCCGCCGCGGGGACGTAGAATGGCGTCTGCGTCGTGCCTTCTTGGAGGCGGAGCATTGCCAGTAAGAAAGTTTGGCCGAAGATATGGTAGAGGAGCGGATCTTTCACCCGTGCTAGGACTAGCCCTTTGGCTGCTAGGGATGTTGTGGCTCCCAGAGATAACAGAGGCGAGGACCTGTAACAGGTGAGCGATAGCGCAGGACGGGTTTATCTGCGAGTGTTCAGAGGGATTCAAGTTTAGGGACTGAACACCGGGGAGGTGACCCGGGTGAGTGGGAAGTGGGGACGGGGTGCCGATCGCATCTTCTACCTGAAAAGGCACTGGGGCACCAAGTGAAGATGGTGTGGGCAAAGGGGAACTGGGGCCAGGGGCGGGTTGGGCTCTGAGGGGAGAAGGGGTGGGCGTCGGTTGCTCTGAGCGGTTTGATAGGTTCGTTAGTTTTTACTCCCAATACAAAAACAAAAATGTAGTGCAAGAACAGGGAACCAAAGAGTCTCTATCGCATTTCCAGTATTGGGGGCCTTCGCCGTCGGATCGTCAGATGGAGGGGGCAGGGCACCACCGGCAAGTTCTCTGGTGCTTCTGCGCGTACTCCCCACAGGAGCTAGGAATACTGCCGGCACGACTGGCTGCGGCTCTGTGGCGTGGGTGTATAACCTTACCGGACCTTCTCCTACTGTGGAACGGGCGGAACCCCTGTCGAGCCTAGCGAGATGGATACCATGACACTAGCCACCGGGCTCGCACCGCAATAGATCCCCGATATAGCCATTCCCAATACTAGAGACGCGATAGGAGAAAGCTAAGGAGGCACTCACCGCTTCCGCCAATCCCCGGATTCCCGCTCCTCAAGAGATAGAGCAGTCTCCCCACTTCCAAGCTCCGGCTGATTGACGCAAGCCCAGGAGTCCCTAGATCACCAGGGGGGTAGAGCGGTGCAACGGACACCCTGGGGACAGGCTGTGTGGCCCCATTGGTAGGTTGGACGTTGCTCGGGTTCTGCATTTTTTTTTTTTCAATGCCTTGGTTCCGTGCAACAAGATGGTGGATGCGTAAGGTTGGAGCAGGCAGATGGAGTGATCCGGGTGAGAGACTACTATGTAGCAGCACCGTGGATATCAGGAGGTGTTGTTCATTGGCTTCAGGGTTGTGACGGTTATGAGGGCTTGGCTAAACCCGCCATTTGGATTCACCCACCAGAGCGCGCGGAATGTTAGGTTAACGCAGGGACCCATAAGAAAACACCCCAATTCGCAGGGTGATTCAACGAGAGCAAAAGAGTAGAGAAAAGGCAAAGTCAAATTTCATACCAGAATTGCGCGAGAGATTCCGGGAGCAAGTTGTGGTTGGCCTTTCGTATTACGAAAATCTTCACCATACTATACGGGCACCTCCCCCGCCACCCGAAACCGGGATATCGGTCATTGGCATGGGGTTACCCGGCCCCCGCCATTAGATGACAACGGAAGCTTAGTAGTGATTGCTCTAAAGGAATATTGTGAAAAAAGGAGTAAAGAGAAAAAAATTATTGGAAAAGAAAAAGAAGGGTCCGTAGTATAAGCAGGAACCATGTCGCCTTTCAAGAGTAATAATCAAAATATACCTTAGGGGATGAAAATTATCATTATTCAGATCCTGCACTGCCACCACACGCTCGCATAATTACACTTAGATATAAATTCCCAGAGCTCCATATCCCGCGGACTAACTCCCCAGGCTCAAGGATTCCTCACTCTCAGGACAAAAGCCGTCACCACCTTACCAAAAGACAGCCATACCAGAGCGGATGAGTGGAGGTCATTGAGGAAGCCACATTATCGGAAGAAAGAAAAGCTTTTCGTGATGTCATGCATAGTGAGCGCCACACCACCATTATCTCCCCGATACACCGCCCCCAGCCCCCTCGCTCGGATCGTTCATCTTATCCATCAGCGAAGGACAACTAGCGGTGCTCACAGTATCAGGCGGGGAGCGAATCATACCGTAACACCCGGTTGGGCTACCCCGAAGATTTATAACTCCTGTTAACGCCCAACGCCAGGAAGGGGGATTAAACAGGTGACATAGTCGATCCCCATAGTGCAGTAAGTCTGGTTTTGGAGGAGACTCCTGCAGAAGGGATTCGGGCAAAATTCCTGGGCACCATGATCGTAAGTCCGATTTTCCCTGCACTTCGCGTGGTATAGCGAAAATATGGTGTTGGACCCTCATATCGACGAGAGAGAACCCGCATCCAACCAGCTGACGGTGAAGAATCGCGGGAAGCGGGGGAGGATAGCGACTACGGTCACGGGGTACTGATATCAGAGAGTTCTAAAAAAGTGGTTCCGGGACAATGTTATTCGCATGGATCGCAACCCCCCAGTGAGTAGCGAAAACTGCCCGCCCCTGCCGAGTTTTTTTTTTTTTCGTTATCTGGTAAATAATTCCTGGAAGTAGTAGCTTTGATCCGCTATAGGCAGCGGCCGACACCCCCTAGTGCCCCAAGATATCCAAGTATTCACAGTGATGTTCCGCTGTATGGACCGGTAAACTAAAGAAACAAGCGAGCATATCGCGGCTTGTTAACATGCCCTCGACGTAGTCGATCTTCCCTGGTCTCCGAGATGCCCCAGTGCAACCGCACATTGGGTATTCCGTAACTATTGAGAAGTGGGAATGGCAGATCGGTCCGTGCTATGCGCTTCGTGTGGCTGGTCCACAAAGTGTTATCCAGGCTTATCGCTTGGTGTTGCTGGACATCTGGAAGGGTTGGTTACTGCCCATATGATAACATAGCCGGCAACAGGACGTTATCCTTGGGTCCCTGACTTAACTAAACTAAGTAAAGCCATGAAGTGTGGGGAGGCTTATAAGGCGTGTTTGTGAGGCCATAGGTGTCCTTGTTTCTTTCTCTGGGCTAACCGAAAACCTCACACTAGATAGTCCACCGCACATCCGTTTGGATCCCTAGAAGGCTTGAGTACTTCACTGTTTTAAGAGACTTTGTTGAAAATAATATTTATGTATTTATTTACCTGACAAAAGCTACCCCCAGCCCCTTATTTTAGTTTTTTTTTTTAACCCACATCCGTCCTGTGAATACATGTAGATTTCTTCTCAAACACCCTCCAAGATACATGGAAAAGCTTCTCACGGATCATGGGGCAGAACATGATGTGTCCCCCCTTTCAAACTTGGACAAGGTCCCCGGCCATAACAGCCTACATGATCTCCTCATCGTCCTCTTGGATAACATCCAACCTGGCCATTTTCTTCTCCAATCCACTCACATCAATCTCCATCTTGTCTTGCACCTTTTCACCAGCACTACCAGCCAACCCGAACCCGTCCATCAATCCTACCAACCCATCGACCGGTTCCTTCCCCTTTCTATCGTACTCCGAGTCCAACCAGCGCGCGAACATCTTCTGATTCTTGATGAACTCCTTCTCGTTCTTCTGGCGCAACTCCCTACGCCTATGCATATTCTCGACGAGAGGGTATCCTCCAAAGTAAAAGGCAGATTTAGCGATACGACCGGCGACGATGGCGGTAATTTGATCCTTCCTGTTCATTTTTTTATGGGGGCAGCGGGCGGAGGAGGTGTTGGCGCCTGAACGCTCGGTTGGGTTCTTGCGGTTCTCACGCTCGCCACGGGCGGCTAGAGCGGCCCTGCGGAGGTTGACACGACTAGCCTTGGAGGAAGCTGTGGAGTTTGTTAGCTACTGGCTTTTGAGGAGCGCCAGGCCTGACTGGCTGGGTGTGAGAGCGGGAAAGAGGTGTTTAGGACACACCCATGGAGTACAAGGCGACTAAGGTATCCTCGTCGATCCTACGAGGCTTCCCGTAAGTGCTCCCAGTGTTGTTCCCGGAGACCCAGACGGCGGGAGAAACGGTGTTGAAGTGATTGGTGATGACGTGGTTGTCGGCCATTTTGAAGGTTTCGTTTCAGTTTTTTTTTGTTCGGTGTGTTGGTTTGTTGTTTTGTTCGAGGGGGATCTTTGGGGATGGTCCTGGATGGTTGGTGAGGAAAATGTGGGAAGAGGGGGGCCTTTTATAGAAGAAGGAGCAGAGGAAGATAAACCCTCTTGGGAAATTTTGCTTTTCGAAATCCTTTGGCATTAGGGCTTTTCCAAGGTGGGGGGGGGGCTCTCGGAACATCATAGTCGGGAGGTTGTCTTGGGGTGTTATATCAACTGCAACGGCTTATCATCGCTCGCTGTTGCTTTGAGGGATCTAGGGTAATATTGCAATAATATCTCTAGCCATACACATGTCATCACAGCAGAAGGTCCTGTGCAGGAATTCAGTTGTTTCAGGAAACAACTCGAGAATACGAACCAGAGACTAGCTGCGAAGTAAATATTTCCCTCGGGGCTCACGAATACCCCCCCCTCCCTTGCTCAATCCTCCCGAAAGCATTGTGTTACCTATGCACTCCGTCAGTTTCTTTGCTTTGCTTTCGTTATGTCCTATGGCACTGCTCTTACAAGATCATCTCGGATCTTATTTGGGGCAATAAAGATAAAAAAAAGGAGAAAGGATGAAATGTAACAATGCCGAGATATGGCGTCGCATAGGTAGTCATTGGGACGGGAAATTGCTCTGGCATTTGTGAGATATCGTGATAGAACTACGGTATTGCTTTCATTTGAAACAAATAAGGGCTGGCTGCGACCACCGAAACTCCCCTGTTCACTACTTACTACCCGATTGAAATAATCCATTTGATTCACTGAAATAGAGGCGGGGCCCTTTTTCCCCTGCCGCGCTTTTATTTCATTATTGATTCGCATCTGCAGAGGAAATAGATGTAGACTTTTCACTAACACTCCCCAGGATACATGGAAAAACATCTTATGGATCGTGGAACAGACGGTACAGGATGCATCTCTCCTCCCGCTTCAACCCGAACAAAAACGCCGGAAGAAACAAAGCCACCTACAAAATCTCGTCATCACCCTCAGACATAACCACAATTCCATCAGTGTCCATATCCATTCCCTCCCGCCCATCCTCAACCATCCAACCTTCCTGGGACTTCTCACCCGCACCAATCCAGAACCCCTCCAGCAACCCGACCAAACCATCAACCGCCGCCTCTTCCCCCTTCCTCTTCTTCTCGGAATCGATCCAGCTCTTCAACTGCTGCTTGCGTTCCTCAGCTTTCCTTACTCTCCTCTGCCGCCACTTATTCTTCTTGACTTTATTCGAGTGGGACCGCGCTCCCGAGCTAGAGCGCGATTTCGTGACATCCGGGGAGGTGGCTGCTGTTGCAGATTTTTTCTTGCGTTTTCTACTCGTCTTGCGGGCGCAGACACGATTGGTATTTGCGACAGTGTGCTTCTTACGGGTTTTCCTCCGGTTATTGCGGGTTTGGCGCTTACCACCAGACTTGGTGGCCGTGCGGATATCAGAGCAGATGTCCTCGGCGGTGGCTACTAACCCGTTAGTAGCTTCTGCCAAGAGCCAGGCACATCTTGCATGGCGTGAGATCCGGAAAGGAGGGCAGGGACAGACCCATGGCAGCCAAGGTGGATGTAGCCTGCTCACCGAATCGGGGAACTTGGACGTAGTGTCCCTGGGTGCCACTTGGGGCGACCCAGGCCGCAGGAGAAGCAACGCCGAAAGCATCGGTGGCCACGCGAACTTTTGCCATTTCGGCGGACTGAAAGGGGGTTGAAGCCATTCCGAATATTTTTCCTTGTTATCGTGTTGAAATTCTGGGAAATGGGGTCCAGCAGTATTGTTGGTGGGTTGATTCGAGACCCTTGGGGAAGAGCTCTTATAGATGAATGAACCAAGTGTGCACAAAAAAGCCCCCCTTGGAGAAAGGTTTGCCCTCCCGAAACCTCGGGAGCTGGGGTTTTTAGATTAGCCGTATGCTTTTTCCGCCGGTTGTTGAATTCAAGTGGAATGGTTTTTCATCCTCGCTCTGCTACTGTACTGGTGTCAATAATTAGATTGTCATCATACCCCTAACGATACGGGAACACCGCAACGAAATTTTGAAAATCGACTCGACCTTTGAAGGATGATGCCTCAAACGATTGCGGGCATCTAGCACAAAATTAAACTGCCCACTAGCTTTATGTATGGCCTACTATTTCCCTCCTACATTTTATCCCCTATCAACACCCGACTTACTCCTCTATTCCGTTCTACAATACTATGCTTACGTTGCCAGGTATGATAGTCCTCAATTCTTCCAGCTCACATCACCAAGACCCAGGAGCCGACTCACAGGCCGTGCGAAAGCAGCAACTCATAGTATAGAGCCTGCGCGGACAGTCCAGTGATGGGAATTGCAATGAAAAACGACTCCGGGTCTCTTGAAAGATCATGCGAGTATGATGCAGTTTGTTTCCTTGAAAGCGAAAGGAACCTGCGAAACCACCTCCGGCAACCCACCCCCTTCCCGATTCATACCTTTCCCTCACCGGTGGTTCCGGGGGGCCGAATGATTGCTTCCTACCCCGCCTGAGAGTAACACAGGAGAGGCTTGGAAAAGTGGAGAATGGTGTAAATAAAGGGCTCCAATAGGGATAAAGCCGAATGGTATGATAGTAGCTGTTATTGGAACCTCACTTACTAGTCGTGTTTAGGTCCGCACTTTGCCTAGACATTTGCTCTCTTTTAATATAGTAATCAAAGCTGGACCTCCACGATCACCCAGCAGAGGAGCGGAGATTTTTAGGAAGAATTGCCAATAACAGCGTTACCAATTCAACCCCTCCACCCCAACTCCTTTTTCTGCATATTGTGTACTGTACCCCCGGTATATAACTATCCGCTTAATGCCTTGCCTCAATACCTCCCCACCAACCATCGACCACCGGCCCAAGCCTTAATGCGAGATAGAGGTCTTCTGGATACCCAAGGGCTGATTCTGTCCAATGCAAGCGGTTCGGCATCGAACAGTGATGGTGATCGACCCCCGAGGAAACTGCATCTCCAAAAGATTCTGCCCGCCGTGCCGTGACTTTTTTTTTTTCCATCGCAGTGAGACCTCTGGCAAGTTATGCACCAGGGAATTCCAGGAGCCGAAGAACCACCGTAACCCAATCCCATTACCCCCTCACCAAGGGTTTTTTGGATCGCGCCCAGCTGGGTCGGGCGCAGTCGTGGATGGATGCCTCACTTAAAAGTGTAGCTTACTTCCTGTATTGAAGTGCCGTAATAGAGGGACATGCGGTTCGGATTCAAGGAGGTAGACGGGCGGCATATCGTAGAGTTCCATTCACAGGGCCAGAAGCGACTCTGGATGATGGGTTTTTTGGAGTATTCTTTAGCACTGCAGCTGTATCCTTCGTGACCCCCGGATGACTCCTCAGATTAATTATTACATAGCTCACTAGACCCCAGACATCCTGAGGGAGTGGCCTCCCCTGTGAGCTCCGGCGGAGCGCCCCTTCCACTCGCCATCCCATGCCCTCTTTACTTCCTATCCCCATCCCACCAACCTAACTGTCAAATTTGTAACGCATCATGCTGTATCACTCATCCCCGCACATACCCAACTCGCCTCCCTCTTGGGTAATTTCCCTTTCGCGAGGAGTACCCGCTCCCTCGCTGCATATTTCCCCCAAAGCCTTCCCAAGAGGTTCACTGTATTATAACGGCTGCGCAGGCTCAAAACTGCCAACCGCCCTCCCCCTCCCAAAACGTTCCACCCATTCCAACAAACTATGCCATTCTCTCCATGATATACCGCATCAGGAAACCCACGCCCTGGGACCAAATCCCAAATTATACAACCCCATTCTTCAAGAGTCCCGGGAATCACGTCAGGGAACCGGCCGCTTCACTCCGTGCCACCGGGCATGTCAGTGAGTCTTAGGTTCTCCCTTCCCCCAGGCAACCTCTAGAGATGCCAGCCAGGGCTCCGTTGCCCAATCTTCATATCTTTATGGTGCCATCCTGGAAGGCGCCGAGGGTACATCCATACCCACCGATAAGATAGCAGCCTCCTCCTCGCACCTCGGTGTAATCTTTTTTTCCTCCTTTCCCACACATTGAGAGCGGACCCCCCCCCGCCATCAAGACCGCCACACGCTGGATAGGCAGGTAAACGCAGGCAAGGAAGAATGGAACCCCAACCACCAAAATGGGCAAAAGCGCCGTATTAAGCCAGAGCTTGCGCGACCAAGCGCCGGCGCTCGATTTCCCGAAACCACAATCGCCGCCCCGCAATGTGCAGACGTTCGCCCGGGCTTGAAAATAACCAGTCCTGTCGCCACTAACTTGGACTACGCATGGGCACTCTAGAAATACAGTAGGGGATACAATCTGGCGGCTGTTTTCATCAGTCCCTTAACCACGAAGCTTTTCTGACGGTTCCCCGTATTTGTATGATGTTATGGGTATGGTAGCCGATATCCCCGGAATGGCTTCGCTACGGGTTAACACATCGCCCAGTCTCCGCGACTCTTCATCTCAAGGAAGTTAAACTGGGGGTGATTCTCGGGGGGAGGGAGGAGGCCTTACCAGTTGGGGCAATTTGGTGTTTCTGCGGCACTGTCGAAATGAGCTCATTCCTCAAGAAAACCCCCCAAACACACCCAACCGTAGACTAATAGAGCAAGCCTCAAATAGAATCCCCCACTATCATCATACTCGTGTATTCGGCCGACCTTGGGTTTTCCGGCAACAGTCCCCGGGGTCGAATGATGCCATTTTGATTGCGTGACAACCGTAGGGTTCTTGGTATAGTAACTTCTCTCACCAAGAAGGCCATTCTGAGGCACTTGCAAAACTCCAAGAAGGTTCGCAGGGCAAGGTGTTGAGAGTTTTATGTGTGCCTGCGGTGTTGAATCACATTCCAATCTTCCTGAATGGAAAGCCGAGAAATGGGATAAAGAGAACTGTAGAAATCGGAGGTTGGGTCGAACACTTGTGCGGTTCCATGCGAGTGCCCGTACACTACACTAGTGCTCGTTTCTTTCAGGACCACGGGCAATAGTACTTGGTCCTGTAGGGGTCGAATCACTCTAGTATTGCGCTAACTATTTTGCTCTCTGGATTACAAGGGAGTATGAAGTGATTGGCTCCTTTCATTTCAGGCCTTGGGCCTTCAGCCCAACAAAACTGGTATCCTAGCCATACAGAAATCTAGTTGGAAACATCCTCCCGTGCCTTCGGCAGAGGAGGGGATATTTGTTGATCCCACCCTGACTCCCTCCCGCACCTTCCCTCCTTCCGAAACGCTTGGAGGTGCTTTAGTCGCAACCGGGCAGTGCACGAAACAACCTGTCCAATGACATGGGGTATTGGTGAGCGGAGAGTGGGTCTCTCGCGGTGGGGCTGGGTCACAACGCGAGCAGCGATCTTCCCGGTCCTGGCGAGGGTCTTTTGTTGTGGGCTTTTGGCTGAACAGTGGGGAAGAGGACGGCTCCTACGGGTTTGGGTAGTGTCCGAGAATCTCCCGTCCAGGCAGGCCCACGACACTGCGGAGAGCTCCAACTGTATGCTTTACTACAGAAAACAGTCAGTATTGCCAGTCACAGGTGCGGTGAGACGAGAACGCGCAATGAAGCCAATCCCGGGTAGTCATGTCTTGTGTGACAAGGGGAGAAGCTCTTCCGCAAGGTTGCAACGGATGGAGGGTGAGTTCGCCTCATTTACCATCCACCCCCCCTGTGCTGGAGTTGACGGCCTTATGTGGAGCTTATTTCTGAGGACCCCGCAATCCTTGGTTTTGGAGGTGGGCGACCAACCAGTGATTTGTTGATGTTGCCATCTCGGGAAAATCTTGGCCAGCCTTCACCAATGATTACCGCCCCGGCTTTCGGTTTGCTGTGGAAAAGTGCGTCAACGGATCTCCCATGGCGAGCGATTAGAACATTGGAATCCCCACAAACTCAGATCCCGATTACTACCCCTGGGCGATACTAACGTTGGTATATCTACCCGGCATTTCCTCCTCTTGCTCCTATATTTCAACCCCTCCTTCGCTCCAAGCCCAGCTCTACCGCTTGCTAGGCGCGTAACCTGCTTTAGCCCTGGCTCCCAGAGTATTAAACGATACCTGTATGAACAAAGAACAGGCTACTGTCTCTGAATTCTTTCGCCGCCTGGAAGTTCAGTAGGACAGATAACTTTGGTCCCTTGCGACCAGTTCTAGATGCACTCGGTAGGGCGGTAGGATGGTTGGTGAGACATCCGCTGTGGCCAGGAAGCCTATCTGAGAGACTGTGATGCATCAGGGCTGTGGTGGCGCTGAAGGAAGTACTGAGTAGACTGTGTTCTCGCCCCGGCGTATATTTAGGTAGGGTGTTGAGGGCCACGGGGGAGTGGAGAAAAGCTTCAGGTGCAGCTTTGGCGGGATCTCAGAGAGGCAGGATGTCGTTCGCATGAGGGGTCCAAGACTTGGAGAGGGTTTGTCGGGGGGTTGGGTTAAGGATTCAAGAAAATAACCTGCAGAATTGAGATTTGTGAGAAGAATGCGACGAGGCCCGGGGGTGGTGTCGAATAGGCTAATTTGGTGGTGCGGGAGAGGGGTAGAGTAACCATTAAGAGAGAGAGAGCTGGCTGAAATCTCCAAAGCAAAGGATTAAGCCTCAATTTTACCTTTGTCGCTTCACATCCTACTTCACTGGGTCCCCTTCTTCTAAACTTGGAAGACCTGATCAACACCATGGAAAGTACAAACTGGTGTGAGACCGAGGTCATGGAAGAACCTGTGGCCATACCTAGGGAGGGAGCGGTTCGGAACCCCTAGTGGCTCAAATGAAAATACCTCTTTAGAGTGGGGAAAAAAGACAGGAGATGACTTGAACTCGATGTATCTTTCTTTCCTTATCCTTCTTGATTCCTCCACCGGTGTCCAACTAACCCATGAACATGTGGTACCTGCAGCGACCCGCCGAGTGGAAATCCGGGAGAATTATTCTGCCTTCCCGCAGACATCGACCTAAGGGAGGCTACTTCCCCGCAGACAATACTCCCCTGCTCCTCCAACTCACTACACCCCTCTAGCCAGGTGACTCCCAACCAAGACTAAGCTCAAATTGGGGCTGGCCGAGGGAGTCAGCTTCAGGAGGCCCCCCCAGGATCCCATCACAAGGGCGCCCCGGATGATGTTAACCCCAAAACTTACATCCCTTGTTGGCATCATAGGTGCCAACACTTGCTTCCAGTATAACAGCACTTTAAATGGGGTTTGTTCCCATCTTAGCAGGTACACCGGGGGGTACGCCTAGCTTTCTGCTTTCCTGTGGTTTCCTTCTAAATGATACGCCCAGTTTTTGTCAAAAACGGACTACTCGGCTCGTCAGTGGTGGTCCTACTTGAGCCACGTAATTCCCTCTTCCCTCCAACCTCTAGTTAAAGAGTTTGTCCTTTGACGAAAACGCCAGAGATCCAGAAGCTCTCCGGTAGCTGTGGGTTTTGTAATGGATTTAGTGGGTCACAATTTCAGAGAGAGCCGCCAGCATCCAGATGCCTACCCCCCCATTCTGAGGAGGGTAAGGATGTTAGATAGGAGTAGGATCTACAGTTCTCCTGGTGCTCCTGTGTTTGTGGGCAGCATGTTAGCAAAAACGCCAGCCGGCGGTACCAGACATCAGTTTTGCTCCCAGCACCCACGGGGGGCAGCGAGAGCTTGCGGGAACCTAAGGAGGAACGGAGAAATGTGAGATCTGAAAACTTTGACGAATTAGAGACACCACAGCTGGGCGAGGGGGAGGCAGAGGGCAACTGAGTTATGTGGATGGCGATATGGGCATAGAGGTGAGTGCTTTTGTTTTTCTGGCTCTCCTTCCCCATTTCTCCATTTTTTATGTAAGGATTCCTTCGAGTATGTTGGTTCATGTAAAATCAAGGCTACGTTATGCGCGTCCTTTGGCAGCGCGAATCGTATTGAGTTAGAAATTGGTCCACAGGCATGTATCTCGTGAGAAGCCACGAGCGAAAAACGACCATGCTTAACAATGGTAGCGAAGGTGCCTTTCCAGCCCACCCCCCCCCCGAGGGCGGCGACAAGCTCCACAGATTGCTCAAGCCGTTTCCCACCCTTGTCTGCGGGGCCCCGCATTATCAGGCCTTACGATTTTAAGCGTAGTCGCCTTCCCCGCCCTTTTACCAAAAGTCAAGCAAATCTTTCCGTCAGGACGGCACCCCACTATTCGCAATTCGTGTTCTGTGCTCGCCCCACTGGTAGAGAAGATGGGCTACCGTGTGGCAAACACTGGCTTTAGTCGCAAGCAGTCGTCTGGCGCAGATACTGCTGAGAAGACTGCGCGAGAGAACAGACATCATTACTCTACACAGGACGCGTGACGCGTGGTGTATCAACCAGCACCTATGAGACTGGGCAGGCTCAGAGGTCACTGCTTCGCATTTCTGTTTCTCCTTCGCCTCTGTAAAGGCAGTTCTCCTCACTACCGAAGTACAAGTCACGAATCACATCATATCAGAGCACACAGGCCGAATTATAAAAAAATATAAAGAATTTTCATTTCTATGTAATCAAGGTCTAGATCAAACCCCCACTACAGAAGCAAGACTGATTTCTACATTTTGCTATATTTAGGGGGAATTTGCTTGACCCAGACGCTAACCATGTCAGACCCTTCTCCGACCTTGTGGGTTCTCTCAGGCATGTAGTGCAATGCCTTGAGAAACTTTCCACCAAAGAGCCCGTCGTAGTCAGAGGATCTGATTCCGTGAGGGGGACCACCGGTCTCGACAGGGCGGAAGAGGGGATACTCCAGCGCGATAAGTACACCTTGGCCCGGAGCCAAGAGTTGGTGCATGCGAGCAGCGACGTTGGTGCGAAGGGCTGGATTAAGAGCAACCAAGAACTATCAAAATGTGTTAGTTTTTGCATCCCACTCAGGTCAGCTTCAAATGGTTTCCGGATTAGAGACTCACAGCGTAATCGTAGATCACATCGAATCCACCATTCGCGTCAATGCCAACTTGAGCGACCCAATCGTCCTTGAAGAAATCCCCAGAGATCAAGTCAATCTGTCCGGTAGGGAGCGGCCCCCCCACAGCTTTCAACCTCTGGATTTCGTTATCAATCCAGGCTTGAGCGTCGTCAATTGCCTTGGCAGAAATGTCAACGCCAACAGCGTGATAACCGTGTTGAGCAAGAAGCAAGACATCGTAACCACGGCCGCAACCCTGATAATGGTCAGTACTAATAGAATGGGGGGTAAGAAAAGAGAGGGGATACCGGAACAAGAGCAGTTTTAGGACCAGACTTGTGGTTATGAGCCACAAAAATCGGGTTCTCCTTCTGCTGGTTCAAGAGATCGACAAGAGCAGGACTGGCCGTTCCCTTATCCCACGGGAGGAATTCACCGCCTTCCCAGAGGTCAACCCATTTCTGGTCGTGAGTCTCGATAGGACTATGCAAAATTAGTAAAAACTCAAAACATGAATATAGTATGGGGCGAGGGTAATACTGACACAAGAAAGTGTTCGCGGAATCTCTCACGGGCCTGAGTGGGCTGGAGGATATCCTCGGCAGTGTGGAACATGTCCTCAGTATTCGAAGGGTGAAGAGGCATGATTGTTTGCAAAAGATGTACGGATCCTGTTTTGAAGAAAATGAGTGGTGAGGATTTGTGGTGTTTTTTTGTAACGATAGAAGGTGGTGAGGAGAGGGGAAGTGGTCAGGGGAGGAAATTCTGGACCTTAAATAGACCTTGGGATGAGCCCCAAGTGGGGTATTCAAGGTCCAAATTTCTCTTGAATGGTGGGGAGGTTGAAGTGCTTGCTGCCAGAGTCACCAAACTACAGGCCACACTCCCCCCAGAGGCCAAATGCCTCCTTGCCCGCTGTGGGGAGGTTTAAGCATCTTGAATACTGGAGCTTCTTGAATCTCAAGAGCTCCAAAGTACCCCCCCACTCCAAACTACTTCTACCGACCCTGCAAGACAACCCACATACTTTTCATCCACCCCATGAAGAAGGAATCAACTTGAGACCAGGCTTCGGGGCCTACTATGTACCCTCTCCTTAGCGAATAACCTAGAGAGGTAAAATATTCTCGGTGCCGGAGAAGAAGCTTCAACACGAACGATCATGCTACAACTAATGTGGGCAGGAATTGGGTTCACAAGTATCACATTTGTACCACCGGTGGATCTACTGTCTCCGCAAGTTTCGTATCCCTTCGCTCTTTGGATTACTTGGGCACTTCCTTCCTGTTACATATTGTTATTTTTCCCCATGTCTACTTCTATTACATTTTCCCATTGCCGCCGGGCAGCTATTGATCGATGCTAGTGATGTCAATGATGGCATTTACGCTTGTTGCCCATAACAGGCCAATGGTCCAGGGAGATTCCAAGTTTTAGGATTTCCAAGTCTGACGACCCACGCACAGTGGTGGTTTCGGTTGTTATACAGATGAACAAGTCCATGATCTCAGCAAATTATCGGAAGCAGCACACAAAAATAAACACTGACACCCTCCTCAGAACCCACCCCCCACGGCTACAGCAAGTTTGCTAAACGCCGCTATCGAATCAATCAACCAAGATGTCATCACACTCCCCCCATATTCAAACAGCTGGATTGCGATTACGCCTCCAGGTATCGACACCATTCCCCTAGCACAGATCCTGACCATCTTTTATTTCTACTCCCGAAACACTGCACGAGGCGCGAACAAGAGTCTTATGCTCCCCAATGTTGGCAAGCCAAACCTGTCCACCCCACTCGTACCAATCAAACTGTAGGATATCCACCTTCCTCATTCCCCCACATTAGTGCTCCGACAGCACCTGGTAGAAGAGCGGTTGCTCGTACAGCGCTATATTCAGGAAGGACTTTGCTATCCCTAGGAGGTTGGTTTTGTTCATTCGTGTTGAAAATTTACTGCTTGTTGGCTTCTCTCGGCCTGGATTCAAAGCTATTAGTTTTGGCAAAGATGTCCCAGTAGTGCATTTTGATCAGGACGCAGAGGAGGATCCAGGCAATACCCACCCCGGTGGTGTTCAAGGACCCTATGCGAACAGGGTGAATTATTCGGGTTTCACAAGCACACTGTCCGCATTCTCCTTCAGATCTCACTTTCTATGAACCAAATTCCTAACAGAACAAGCCTCAGCATATACCCTCAAACGGAGGGCAACTGCTGGTATTACCGGAGCTTTAGCCTCAGCTCTCTAGGCCCCACGCCGATGACTTCCACAATCTCGTATTCTAGGGCAACGATGGAGTTGCCGGGGTCCCCCACCATCACCAATTACAACGAGAGCTATGGGCGAGGATAACCGTTGGGTCCCCCCCCTGCGGTATCAAAACCTCCCCCTGCCGCCACCAAAGCAGCCAGACCGGTCGGGAATTTAGCTTGGGATTTGGAGGTTTCAGGAGACGATCTGCATCAACCCTATGGTTCAGGACTAGGTCGGTGGCATGGATCATTCTGAGTGGGTACGGACGGAGCTTTTGGGGTCTGAGGATGACCAGGGCGTTCGTGAGGGTATGAATAGATTTCGTCTTGGACAGGAAATTATTAAAAAGTGATGCGAACAAGTGGTGGCGCTCTTGATGTCTTCCATAATTACAGATACGCTGCTACTGCCTTGTCTGAAAACACAAGTCCCCCAATTGCTCAAAAAGTCCCTGAAGAGAGCTTTCTCCTGTCATGCATTGAACTAGAGGCCAAGTACCTGATCTATAAGTTTGCTCAAAGCCAGCGGATAGAAAAGGGAATAAAGATTCTCTTTGAGCAATGCCTCTCAGGCCTATAGCTGGCACAGGAGTTTTAGTTATGCGCCGTCCCCTACCGTATGCCAGTACAAGAGCAACACAGTACATCTCAGCAGTCGGCGCATCAAGCTCCGCCCCCACTACCTTCCGGACCCCGCTTCCAAACCTTTCTATTTCACGATCGGCCTGGCTACTGGACTTGGAGCTTCGTATGTGCCCTGGGATGGCACCCGGTGGGATAAAGAGACCAAGGATAGCACCCACTGCTACCCCCTCACCTCCATCCTTAGTGGCGCTCTTGCCTGCGCTAGTGTGGTGGGTGACACTATCTCCGGTTGACAAGAACCACCCCCGTCAGACCCATTAACAACCTCCTACCCGACCAAAGCTCCTATCCGGTCAGTTGATACAGTCCCCCGGGAGCCAGGGCACCCGGGCTTTACCTCCCTCACGACCAGACAAAGAACCTTTGATTGTCCGCTAAACCCTCATACTCGATTCAGAGGTTGGGTCATATAAAAACTGGGATGGTTGTGTTTACATTTTTTCCTCTGTTGATGGTAGCTATTGATGGGGTTTTCCTCCCCTGCCTTCCCTTCTTATTTTGGGGGAGGACGTGGTGTTAGTTCCATACCAGAGGGACGTAGGATCGAAGAGCATTAGACAGGGGTGGGTATCCAACCTTGCAGGGTTTTAAAGCCATAGTTTAGGGGGCATACCGCAGATTTTCCTGTAGCTAGCTACTAAGACACCCGAGATTTAACAAGAAAGTGGATGGCGACCACTGCATATTGATTTTTTTTTTTTTTGAATAATTGATGATGTTTACCGGGCAGCGCGCTAATAAAGTAACTACCAACGCTTATCCAGCACCACTGTCGCCGATACCTGATTAGGGGCGGACACTAACTTGATTTGTGGGGATGTGACTCACGACCGGGATGCGGCTGACACATGGCAACGGGTGGAAAATCAAATGCATCTTTGACTATCATGCCTCTATGAATAATTGTGAGAGCACCTTGAAATCATATCAGCACTGAGAATATCTTGATTATAATTAATATGATAACTCTTAGAATAATTAAGATAATTAGGATATTCTGATCAAATATGCATATAAATCATCTTACTCAATCCTTGAAAAACTATTTATAAGGTTTTAGACAATTTATAGCTCATTTTAATCAGAAAGGCACAGAATATGGAAAACATATTTACTGAACTTCAAATTAGCTATACTTACTCAAGTAACAACTATACAGTAGGATGTAAAAACTCAAATTCATTGGTTATTATAGTAGCAAGTTATCCTGTAGTCAAACATACTAATTTTGTATGTAGTTTTCTTTATTTTCTGTTGGTTCCTATCAGGTATCAAAACATTAACAATTGGTAATAAATCTAGTAGATAACTATTGGCCATGAGCTTACAAGACTTATTGAATCTCTTAATCTGCTCAAAAGGCATTTCTTATATGTTTCTCAATTTTTATACACTAGCAAACTCTACATACTTTGTTTCAAAGAAGCAATCTTGAAAACTCCTCCCAGAGAATCAATTCATAATGATGAAACACAATTTACATATTTCAATTCTCCATATTCCAAAGCACATACTCATAAGATTTCAAGATGGTCTCACAATTATTCAGAGATAATCAAAGATGTATTTGATTTTCTATCGGTCGCCATTGGTGAGCCGTATCCCGGTCGTGAGCCACATCCCCATAAATCACGCCACTCATGCCACGCCATCCCGGGCGCCCGTCAGCCGCTATCAAGATACTGAACGCCCCCGCACGCCCAATACCTCAGAGCATAATTTTGCATTTTACCGAATTACCTTAACCCATTTACTGCAGTACCATGGTGAGAGCAGAGTGTGGATTGTGGTACCTGAGGTGGAAAGGCACGAACGATCTTTCATTTCCTCCGGTGGAGGCTAGCAGTGTTTTCCAGTGAAGCAATCCTACCGCGGAAACCACCAGGTTAAGCAGAAATTCGCAAATGCCTAAGCAGGTCCTCTAGAGTTGGTGGAATATTCGACATACCATGCCCGAGAGAAACCCGGCAGCAACCTTCATTCCATGGAGCACTGAAGTTGAGAGAAGAGCAATTTTCCCAATGGAAGGTATTACGGAATCTGTTTTTCCAGATATTTGTCTCGGAAGATCTACTGGAGGAGATGGGTTTCCGTCCCCGTCATCCACCCCAGATTGGACTTTACTGAGGCTTATCGCTCCCGGAACTAGGCGGTTGCAATAGTGGAATATTCTTAGCCCGCAGTGCTCCCAACCGTCCGGGGGGCCAGTAGGGCCGGAAAGGATGGACTACCAAGAGCCCTAGACTTGACGGGACGGCATAAGGTACCCAGTCCTCGTCCTTCATATTCAAAGACGGCTGTTTGTGGGGGGACCACGGGCCCGACAACCTGAGACATTATTAGCCAGGGTACTAGCAGGATAGCCGGCGGACCACAGGGGACTACAGGCGTAGTATATGGAGGGGTGAATTCAGATGTTAACAGGATGCAAGATACGCTTAAAGTACTCGAATTATATTCCGGTGGACCTCGTTCCAGAAGCATTTTTTTCTCGGGTTCTCCATACATTAACATATGCTATGCCATTCATATCCACCCGCTCTATATGTTACTTCCACCTATTCTTTCTTCGCTTCGACATGTCTGATTGTTGAATTCTTTCCATCCTGATTTAAGTTACTATTTATTCGCCATGCCCCCCTCCCCCCAACTGAGTATTACTACAGTTTCCCCACCTCCAACCGATTTGTGATCTTGGTTTCCTTTTCCTTCTATTTTCACGCTTACCCTGTCCTAAATCTCACATTCTCCGAACATGATTGGTATTCCATGGTGCCGTTATTATCTGCAGAACCTAGTTTCCAACTATATTATCCCATCTTTATATTCTACAGTATTAGGACAAATATCTTTGTCCGGTGCCCTTTTTACACCAAAAGCGCCCATCTTCCCCACCCTCTCCTGTTGCGCACTGGCAATGTTTATGAGA